TAAGTGAAGAGTTAAACATTAACCACTGTATCAAACACTGCAGAAAAGAAAAACATAGTGGCTAAATGGTCAGCACAGTGGCTAAATAGTTAGCACTTCCGCCTGGCAGTACTAAGGTCGTTGGTTTGAATCCCAACTATTAGAGTAAAATCATCCACGTGGAAATCAAATGGCCCTAATGGAGAAGCCTGTCTTACTGAAGTCATGCCGCCGTGTCCTCACGGAGGACCGGCAGCCATCTTTGTAAGTGTCATTTTGCCATTTGATTTCCACGTGGATGATTTTACTCTTATTGTAAAAAATACTGCACCATGAGTGCTCCTTTCTTTGTGACTCAGTTTTGTGAGCTGTTCCCTTCAAGGTGTTGCTCTGCTTGATTGCTGTTTGGTGGAAGGTTCAGCTGGAGTCATCCCTTAACTCTGTGTGAGGCCAGTGGTTTTATTCCCATACTGTGAGCATTATGGTGGACCAGCCAGACCTGCGGAGGAGTCTTTTAATTATAATGCGCATTTCATATGCACTTCTGGTGAGTACATTCAAGAGAAGTATTTTATCACGGAGTCACCTTTCACCTTTTATCACGGATACATTGTGGAATGTTTATTGATATTTTTGCTTTGATTATTTTATTTGTATTGGACTTTTTCACCATTGTCACTATTACAGTGTTGACCACTTTTCACTGTTATTCAGCTCAACACTTTGTAACATTCATTATGATTCACCTTACTGCTACTTTTAGAGTGCTTCACTTATAATAATTTTTTCTGTGTACTTTCACTATTGTCACTCATTTTATCAGTATATCTTACTATGATTTAGAGGGTTGTCCTTTTGTGCAAGCTGCTTTTGTCCCTCCGTGTGTTCACTGCCTACCTTTATTTTTACTCTGTTACTCAAAATGTTTTTTTGTTCTGCATTGCTTGATACTATGTTGCAAGTAGTAGTGGCTAATGCTTAACTCTTAACTTACTGATATACTGTATGTGGCATCATAGTCAATAATACAGAAATAATGGAAACATAGTTTCATAAAGTACATGTATGTGTAAAGCATTACATTTTGATCTGTTTTCTTAGGAACCTGGAAAATGATGTTTAAAAACGTTTCAATACCGTGCAATTTTACACCTTCCTGCCCAGGCCATTTTTCAGGTATCAGCGCTCTCACACTTTGAATGACAATTGCGTGGTCATACAACATTGTACCCAAACTAAAATTTTATCATTTTCTTCACACAACTAGAGCTTTCTTTTGGTGGTATTTAATCACCGCTGGGGTTTTTATTTTTTGCTAAATTAACAAAAAAAGACCAAAAATTTTTAAAAAAAAAACACATTTTTTCTTTGTTTCTGTTATAAAAGTTTACAAATAAATAATTGTTCTTCATAAATTTAGGCCGAGATGTATTCTGCTACATGTCTTTGGTGAAAATAACCCAAATTAGGATGTATTTTTTAGTTTGTAGGAAAGTTATAGAGTTCACAAACTATGGTATAGATCTGAATATTGATCAATCCTGAAGTACTGACAGCCAATCTAATATCTTGAGGTCCAAGAATGTCAGAACAGTACAGATATCCCCCAAATGACCCCTTTTTGCAGAGTAGACAGTCCGACGTACTTCATAAGAGGCATGGCGAGTTTTTTGAAGTTGTATTTTTTTGTCATAATTTTTCGGAAAAATGAAAAAATTAAAAAAATTATTTAAAATAAAAATAAAATTATATTTTTTTTTTACATACTGTCACCAGTGCAGTACAGTGTCATCATATAACTGGCATGGTGGTGAACAGCAACACTGACTGGTGACAGTATGAAAAAAAAAAAATATATATATATTTTTTTATTTTTTTTAATTTTTTTATTATATTTAATTTTTTATTACATTTTTTTTTATTTTTTTTTCAAGATTTTTTTTTCATATTTTACTATGACCAAAATAGTACAATGTTACCATAGTAACACTGTACTACTTTGGGGAAGTGATCAGTATTTTTTTTTTTTTTTTTTACACAATTTGCTTATAGCAAAGAATTACTTTGCTATAAGCAAGCATTTACCTGAATGAAATCGATTCATTCAGCTTTTTTTTTTTTTTTTGTGCTTAGCTGTGATTTGGTCACAGCTAATCACATGACATGTGCATGTGATTAGCTGTGACCATTCACAGCTAGGCACTAGTATACAATGGATGGCATCATGAATGAAGCCATCAATTGTATACAACTGTCATGTGACCTGCTGTGATTGGTCACAGCAGGTCACATGGTACCGGCAACAGGAGCCGGTACTCGGATCTGTCATCGGCCGTGTCCGAGGTGCACGGGCGGTGACAGATCGCACTGCTGCGTCTCTCTGCAACCGCGCAAACCGCGCATGTGCGGGAGCACGCCAAATGGCGTGCACCCGGAATACAGGAGCACATTTCAAGCCGCCAAATGGCCATTGGCCGGGCGGCTAATGGTTAACCACTTGCCGTCTAGAGGATTTACCCCCCTTAATGACCAGGCCTCTTTTTGCTATTCAGCGCTGCACTTCAACTGGTAATTGCACTCAATTGATGCAATGCTGTACCCAAACAAAATTTACGTCCTTTTTTTCATACAAATAGAGCTTTCTTTCAGTGGTATTTGATCACCTGTACGCTTTTTATTTTTTGCGCTATAAGCAAAAAAATATAAAAAAATTTTGAAGAAAAAACAAAACAATATTTTTCACTTTCGTCTATAAAAAATATATAGTAAACTCAAGGTTAGTCATAAATTTAGGCCAAAAATGTATTCTGCTACATGTTTTGGTAAAAAAAAAATCCCAATAAATGTATATTGATTGCTTTGTGTAAAAGTTATAGCATCTACAAGCTATGGTATACATACTGCAATTTATGCCATTTTTGCTATACAGTGCAGCACTAGTTTAACTGACAATCGTGTGATCATGCAGTGCTGTACATTAACTAAATTTATGTCCTTTTTTTCACACAAATAGAGCTTTCTTTTGATGGTATTTGGTCACCTGTGAGCTATTTATTTCTCACACTATAAACAAAAAAAAAGAACAAAATGTTTGAAAAAAAACTATATTTTTTACTGTCAAAGAATAGTCAAAGTTATTCATAAATTTAGGCCAAAATGTATCCTGTTACATGTCTTTGGTAAAAAAAAATCTCAATAAGTGTATATTGATTGCTTTGTGTGAAAGTTATAGCGTCTACAAAATATGGTATAGATAATGGAATTTACACAGCATTTACTTTCTGACTGCCTATCACATTTCTTGAGGTGCTAAAATACTAGAACAGTACAAACACCCCCAAATGACCCCTTTTCAGAAAGTAGACACCCTACAACTATTTTTGGTATTTTTTGTTTTTTTTTAATTTGTACTTTTTATTTTTTTTTACTTTTTTTTTTAAACTTAACTTTTTAAAACAGATTGTAGAGTCTCTCCAAATGGGATAGCCAGTTTCCTGACTACCTAACATCGTTCGAGACCCTATATGTGCTCTGAACTGTGCCGTGCTGTACCCTATACTAATAACCACTAGTGTGTGGTAGTGATGGAAGCAGTCCTTGAGACAGAGACAGGGTTGGCCAGGACTGGAGGGACAAAAAAAGTGGCTGTCCCGCCTAATATCATATCTGATACAGACACGACATCTTTTTGGGGATTCCTTTGGGTTGGAGTACCAGGAATAGCACTGGAAAAATGCCTCTCATGCAGCCGGCTAACTGCATCTGGGTTGGGGGTTTGGGCCACAGCACCTTCTGGATAAAAAAGGGCCATGATGATCTATTCTTGGAATATTAAGAAGGATCCACTACGTCCAGTTGCTTTGTAAAGCACAAAAGCGTTATATAGAGCCAATTGAAATAAACAGACATTTTTTCTACCAGCTTCTGGCTTTTTGCCGTGGTAATTTGGATGACTGTATCTGCGTGAATGGAAGACAGGACGAAAATATCCCGTTTGTCCTTCTACTTCACTGCAAGCAATTCCTCATTTCTCAAGCAGGCTTTTTCCCCCTTTCCAAGATGGGTATTTACAGGCCTTTGGGGGAAGCCCCGGTGATTAGGTCACACAGTGCCACATGCGCCAATTCCACAATTGTACCAATGTCTAAATAGTGGCACGCTTGAATAAAAATTGTCCATGTATAAGCGGTAACCCATATGGAACAAGGTTGACACCAAGTCCCAAACTATCTTGCCACTGCTCCCCATGTATTCTGGGCATCCAGGGGCTCTACGTGACTATCTTTTCCCTCGTAAATCCAAAACTTATATGTATAGGCTATACATATAAGTTTCGGATATACGAGGGAAAAACAATGCCCTCCCACAGGTCTTATACACCTTGACCCCATATCTGGCATGTTTGCTGGTGATAAATTGTTTGAATGCATGGCAGCCAGAAAAATGAATGAGGGACTCCTCAACACAGATGTTTTGCTGGGGAGTATAGACATCTGCAAATTTCTGGTTAAGGTGATTTACGAGGAGCAGAATTTTGTGAAGCCGGTCAAATTCAGGGTCACCCCAAGGACGACTGAGTGTGTTTGTCGTTGAAATGCATAAAATGCATTATATTCTTATATCTATTCCTGGCAATGGCAGCAGAGAACATGGGCATATGATGAATTGGGTCTGTGGACCAGTACAACTGCAATTTACTTTTTTTAGTAATGCCCATGTTGAGGGTTAGGCCCAAAAAAACTGTAATGGGTTTCCATGCAAATGGTCTGGCAAGGTTTGAATTTGGGTTGGCGGAGATAAACTGTTGTGCATATAAATTGCTTTGATCCACAATCAATGCATACAGATCTTCTGTGAAAAACCACTCCAAAAAATCAAGGGGAATATTTAAATTTGCTGTTTACACCTGAATTCCAGGTTGGGCAGTGAATGGGGGAAGTAGAATTTGTGGGCTGCCAATCGGGATTTGCAAGCACGTCCGAAAGGACCTATGGGCTTTACGGGCCTGTGTGCGAATTCTTGGTGGCTGCAGAATACTACTTGTGCTCGCCACTGCACCAGTGTCAGGAATTGGCTCAGCACAGTGGTGCTGGGGCTCACCTGCCTTGTGGGCTGCAGTACCAGTGCTGGCCAGCAGGTGCTCTCTGCAGCCAGAATCTCACTCCTGCAATCAAGCCATCACCAATCATGCAGGAGGTGTATTTAAGCAATGGCCAGGCCTGCAGTCAGTGCCTTGGTGTTTGTTTCCCATGAGCCCCTGTACCTGGTCCTGTTGTCTGCCTGCCTGCCTGGTTCCCCTGCTTGACACTGATCGAACTCCGCCTGCACTGACCTCGGCTATTTCTGACCTTTCTCCTGCCTGCTCCGTTTGTACCTTGTCTACCCGATTGTTCCTGACCCGGCCTGCCTGACCACTCTACCTCTCCAGCCTGACTACACCTGTCTGTGTTCCTGAACATACTGACATTAGTTGGAGGTTTGGTTTTGTTTGTACTGTGCGTTGTATACTTGTGTAGTTCCTAATAAATTATATTCTTATACATCACTCCTGAAGCCTGCGTTTCCCTGTGTCAGTCCACACACCTCTGGTCATACCCGAATCCCTGACATAACACCAAGGCCGTCCTGACAAGAAGTGGCTGCACAGGGAAGCCATCTTGGCTTGTTATTGTGAAGGATGCATCCTGAGGAGGTTGTGTACTTGTATCTGCTAGTCTTAGATGACAGAGAATATGCCTATCAGACTCTGAAGGAGTTTGCCAGGGATCAGCTGCTAGAGTGCATACGGGTCGTTCATTCCCTAGTAGATCAGGGCACGGAGTTCTCTGAGGTGCAACCATTGATTCAGGCTTGTGCTGAGTTGGCTTCATCTAGTACCCCTGAAAGCAGGAATTACTTTTTTCCACCATTCAGTACGGATCAAGTAGAATCACTGGTATGGTTGTTGGAGGATGATTCGGATTGCTTCTTGGAGCATTATTCAGCATGTTCACAACATGTGCTAGTGAATTGTATAAACGCAGTGCAGCCTTTGGTCAGACAGGCTTTGTGTAAGCTGAGCTTTGTTCAACCAGTACTACAGACATGGTCAGATTTGTTACACCCAGCCTCAGTCAGCTTGCAACAACCCAGTCCTGCTTCTAATCATTCCTCTGCTCAAAGCTCTCTTCCTCCATTTCCCACAGCACCCCCAGTTACAGCCCAGTATACCCTGCTATCAACCACATGTCAGTACCCTGTTCCCACTCGCTGCACCTATCCTGCCTTTAACCCTGTAAAGAAGTCCTCTGTAGAAACTGCTCCCGTTCTCTGTTATATCCTCCAGCTCTTCTCTGTCTTTAGCTGCTCCCTCCGTTTACAGCCCTGCATTTACTTGCAGTGCTTCAGTAACTAAACCCAAGAAGAAGCGAAAATTCTTTCCAACCAGTACCATCCTGCCAGTATCCAAACCGGTCAGCCTGCTGTCTGATGACCCGATCCAGCCTGATGACCCGAACCAGCCTGATGACCCGATCCAGCCTGATGACCTGATCCAGCCGGATGACCCGATCCAGCAGGATGCCCTGGTGCCCGTGGTCCAGCCTAGCACCCACCCCAGTGCCCGTGGTCCAGCCTGGCGCCCCGATGCCCGCTGTCCTGTCTGATGACCCGGTGCCCGCTGTCCTGTCTGATGACCCGGTGCCTGCTGTTCTGCCAGATGACTCGGTGCCCGCTGTCGTGCCAGATGACTCGGTGCCCGCTGTCGTGCCAGATGACCCGGTGCCCGCTCTCATGCTTGATGCCTCAGTGCTTGCTGCCTCGCCTGATGGCCCGGTGCCCGCTGCCTCACCCTGATGGCCCGGTGCCCGCTGCCTCACCTGATGGCCCAGTGCCCGCTGCCCTGCCTGATGGCCCGGTGCTCCGCCTGATGGCCCGGCACCCGATGCTCTGCCTGATGGCTCGGCGCCTGCTGCTCCGCCTGATGTGCCTCTGCTCACTGCCCAGCCTGATGTGCCTCTGCTCGCTGCCCAAACCGATGAGCCTCTGCTCGCTGCCCAACCCAATGTGCCTCTGCTCGCTGTCCAACCCGATGTGCCTCTGCTCGCTGCCTGGCCTGATGTCCCGGTGCCTGCTGCCCAGCCTGATGTCCCGGTGCCTGCTGCCCGGCCTGATGTCCCGGTGCCTGCTGCCCGGCCTGACATGCCTCTGTCCGCTGCCCGGCCTGACGTGCCTCTGTCCGCTGCCCGGCCTGACGTGCCTCTGTCCGCTGCCCGGCCTGACGTGCCTCTGTCCGCTGCCCGGCCTGACGTGCCTCTGTCCGCTGTCCGGCCTGACGTGCCTCTGTCCGCTGCCCGACCTGACGTGCCTCTGCCCGCTGCCCGGCCTGACGTGCCTCTGTCCACTGCCTGGCCTGACGTGCCTCTGTCCGCTGCCCGGCCTGACGTGCCAGCTCCTGATGCCCAGCCTGCTTCTGGAAATCCTGTGTCCAGCAACCTGCCTTCCTGAGGTCTCCTGCAAAAAGATAGGCCTATCAGCAGGAAACCCAGACAGTCACTTGATTCCGGCAGTGGGATGTCCAGCCAGTTACCGGACCCAGGCGGTGGAACATTGGGGCCATTACGGACTGCTTTGAGTGTCCTGAGGTCGCTCCTTGAGGGGGGGGTTACTGTCAGGAATGGGCTCAGCACAGGCGGTGCTGGGGCTCCCCTGCCTTGTGGGCTGCAGCACCAGTGCTGGCCAGAGGGTGCTCTCAGCAGCCAGAATCTCACTCCTGCAATCAAGCCATCACCTGAGGCTGATTGCAGGAGGTGTATTTAAGCAATGGCCAGGCCTGCAGTCAGTGCCTTGGTGTTTGTTTCCCATGAGCCCCTGTACCTGGTCCTGTCGTCTGCCTACCTGTTTCCCCTGCTTGACTCTGACACTGATCTCCGAACTCTGCCTGCACTGACCTCAGCTATTCCTGACCTTTCTCCTGCCTGCTCCGTTTGTTCCTTGTCTGCCCAATTGTTCCTGACCCGGCCTGCCTTACTACTCTACCTCTCCAGCCTGACTACGCCTGTCTGTGTTCCTGATACATACTGACATTAGTTGGAGGTTTGGTTTTGTTTGTTGTTCTGTACGTTGTAGTTTCTAATAAATTATATTCTTATACATCACTCCTGAAGCCTGTGTTTCCCTGTGTCAGTCCACACACCTCTGGTCATACCCGAATCCCTGACAATCAGATTGTACTGCACTTTTGGGACTCGCCACGTCACAAAGTGATATCGCAGTGCTGGTATGAAAAAGACCAGGATGTACTAGGCAGCTGGTGCTCACCAGTTCACCAAAAGGTAGAGCGGTATTAGTACTGGCACTCTGCTGCATATGAGCATCATCATGTGTTTGTAACATCTCAGCAACCTGGAAATGGGGTCGGGTATGCCTGATCTTAGTAGGGACCTCTTCTCCATCATCTGAGCTACCTGCCAGTGTGCCACTGCTGTCTACAGGTTCGCATTCTGAGCTGGATTCTGTCATTGAGTCTTCCCTTTCGCTCTCACCTGACATACTCTGAATCCTGTAGGCCTCTTCACTAGTGTGTGACATTTTGGACACTAAATTTATAGGTACCTAGTGTGACTCATGGGAAAAAGAGCGCCTGGCTGTCAGGGACTACTTGAACCGCTACAAAAAAACTTACCGACAAGTGCTAACACTGTGGTGTTGTGTGCAAAGTACCAAGTGATAGTGATCTACTGACACTGCACTTGCTGGGGGGAGAAGGGGCGCTATACTAATGTGAACGCTGGTATAGCCCCCCCCATTTAACCCCTTCACTGCCCTGTCACCAGTGTCATTAGTACAGTATACAGATTTTTTTGCTGATCATGGTTTGTGTCACTGGCGACTTCAGACAGCGTCAGCGCCCCTCCCAGCTAGCGTCAGTTTGCCCGCTAGTACACCAGTAATCACATTTAACCCCTTGATTGCCAGGAACACACTCACACAATAAACCTCCATTGCTAGTATAGTGTCTGAACGGATCAATATCTTTGATCAGATCATAGCTATACCAGCGTTCACATTAGTATAGCGTCCCCAAAAATGCAGCATTAGTGGGATCAGCCCCCCGCACCTGCCAGAACCTGCTTTTAGCCCCTACGCTTACCCCCCCTTCTCCCCCAGCAAGTGCAGTGTCAGTAGGTCACTGTCACTTGATACATTGCACACAAAACCGCAATGCTGGCAGAATCACTTATACGTGGACAATTTTTATTCAAGCGTGCCACTATTTAGACATTTGTACAATCTTGGAACTGGCGCATGTGGCAAAGTATGAAGTGGGTGGATGCATGGTGGTATATTCTAATGGTGGGCATACCACACACTTTTTCTCAGTCCACAGGCTGCATACAAAAAAAAAAAAAAAAGAACATAGCATATACAGTGGGGCAAAAAAGTATTTAGTCAGCCACCAATTGTGCAAGTTCTCCCACTTAAAAAGATGAGAGAGGCCTGTAATTGGCATCATAGGTAGACCTCAACTATGAGAGACAAAATGAGAAAAAAAAACAGACAATCACATTGGCTGATTTGGAAAGAATTGATTTGCAAATTATGGTGGAAAATAAGTATTTGGTCACCTACAAACAAGCAATTTCTGGCTCTCACAGACCTGTACAGAAGAATCTTTAAGAGGCTCCTCTGTCCTGCACTCATTACCTGTATCAATGGCACCTTTTTGAACTTGTTATCAGTATAAACGACACCTGTCCACAACCTCAAACAGTCACACTCCAAACTCCACTATGGTGAAGACCAAAGAGCTGTCAAAGGACACCAGAAACAAAATTGTAGACCTGCACCAGGCTGGGAAGACTGAATCTGCAATAGGCAAGCAGCTTGGTGTGAACAAAAATCAACTGTGGGAGCAATAATTAGAAAATGGAAGACATACAAGACCACTGATAATCTCCCTCGATCTGGGGCTCCACACAAGATCTCACCCCGTGGGGTCAAAATGATCACAAGAATGGTGAGCAAAAATCCCTGGTCCACACGGGGGGACCTAGTGAATGACCTGCAGAGAGCTGGGACCAATGTAACAAAGGCTACCATCAGTAACACACTACGCCGCCTGGGACTCAGATCCTGCAGTGCCAGACGTGTCCCCCTGCTTAAGCCAGTACATGTCCGGGCCCATCTGAAGTTTGCTAGAGAGCACTTGGATGATCCAGTAGAGGATTGGGAGAATGTCATATGGTCAGATGAAACCAAAATAGAACTGTTTGGTAGAAACACAACTTGTCGTGTTTGGAGGAGAGAGAATGCTGAGTTGCATCCAAAGCTGTGAAGCATGGGGGTGGCAACATCATGCTTTGGGGCTGTTTCTCCGCAAAGGGACCAGGACGACTGATCCATGTACAGGACAGAATGAATGGGGCCATGTATTGTGAGATTTTGAGTGCAAACCTCCTTCTATCAGCAAGGGCATTGAAGATGAAACGTGGCTGGGTCTTCCAACATGACAATGATCCCAAACATACCGCCCCGGGCAACGAAGGAGTGGCTACGTAAGAAGCATTTCAAGGTCCTGGAGTGGCTTAGCCAGTCTCCAGACCTCAACCCCATAGAAAACCTTTGGAGGGAGTTGAAAGTCCGTGTTGCCCAGCAACAGCCCCAAAACATCACTGCTCTAGAGGAGATCTGCATGGAGGAATGGGCCAACATACCAGCAACAGTGTGTGCCAACCTTGTGAAGACTTACAGGAAACGTTTGACCTCTGTTATTGGCAGAAAAGGATATAAAAAAGTATTGAGATGAACTTTTGATATTGACCAAATACTTATTTTCCACCATAATTTGCAAATAAATTCTTTCCAAATCAGCCAATGTGATTGTCTGGATTTTTTTTCTCCTTTTGTCTCTCATAGTACCTATGATGCCAATTACAGGCCTCTCTCATCTTTTTAAGTGGGAGAACTTACACAATTGGTGGCTGACTAAATACTTTTTTGCCCCACTGTATATGCTGGTTTTTTCAACAATCAGCATATTACACTAGTGAGTTTTATTTAACCATTTTTGGTGGTGGATTCACTTGGTGATTAATTATTTTGGACATTATATTGATTATTTGAACTTTTAGACTTTTTCTTTTTTGCTGGATTTTATTTTGATTTAAAATATTGTTTTTCTATTGTTTTGTCACATTTTTTGTTACCCTTTTGTATGTATTTAAGTGCAACCTATATTTTTTTGAAGCTTTATAAATACTGTATAATAATAATAATAATAATCCCATTGCAGAAAAATAACTATTATCATATTCTTATTAGAAAAAGAGCAAATATATTCCTTGGCATGTGCATGAACAAAAATCTGCCCATTATCCCCAAATAGCTATTCTCATATTCTTATCAGAAACAAGTCAAATACAGTCAGGTCCATAAATATTGGGACATCAACACAATTCTAACATTTTTGGCTCTATACACCACCACAATAAATTTGAAATGAAACGAACAAGATGTGCTTTAACTGCAGACTGTCAGCTTTAATTTAAGGGTATTTACATCCAAATCAGGTGAACGGTGTAGGAATTACAACAGTTTGCATATGTGCCTCCCACTTGTTAAGGGACCAAAAGTAATGGGACAGATTAATAATCATAAATCAAACTTTCACTTTTTAATACTTGGTTGCAAATCCTTTGCAGTCAATTACAGCCTGAAGTCTGGAATGCGTAGACATCACCAGACGCTGGGTTTCATCCCTGGTGATGCTCTGCCAGGCCTCTACTGCAACTGTCTTCAGTTCCTGCTTGTTCTTGGGGCATTTTCCCTTCAGTTTTGTCTTTAGCAAGTGAAATGCATGCTCAATCGGATTCAGGTCAGGTGATTGACTTGGCCATTGCATAACATTCCACTTCTTTCCCTTAAAAAACTCTTTGGGTGCTTTTGCAGTATGCTTTGGGTCATTGTCCATCTGCACTGTGAAGCGGCGTCCAATGAGTTCTGAAGCATTTGGCTGAATATGAGCAGATCATATTGCCTGAAACACTTCAGAATTCATCCTGCTGCTTTTGTCAGCAGTCACATCATCAATAAATACAAGAGAAGCAGTTCCATTGGCAGCCATACATGCCCACGCCATGACACTACCACCACCATGCTTCACTGATGAGGTGGTATGCTTAGGATCATGAGCAGTTCCTTTCCTTCTCCATACTCTTCTCTTCCCATCACTCTGGTACACGTTGATCTTGATCTCATCTGTCCATAGGATGTTGTTCCAGAACTGTGAAGGCTTTTTTAGATGTCGTTTGGCAAACTCTAATCTGGCCTTCCTGTTTTTGAGGCTCACCAATGGTTTACATCTTGTGGTGAGCCCTCTGTATTCACTCTGGTGAAGTCTTCTCTTGATTGTTGACTTTGACACACATACACCTACCTCCTGGAGAGTGTTCTTGATCTGGCCAACTGTTGTGAAGGATGTTTTCTTCACCAGGGAAAGAATTCTTCGGTCATCCACCACAGTTGTTTTCCGTGGTCTTCCGGGTCTTTTGGTGTTGCTGAGCTCACCGATGCGTTCCTTCTTTTTAAGAATGTTCCAAACAGTTGTTTTGGCCACGCCTAATGTTTTTGCTATCTCTCTGATGGGTTTGTTTTGTTTTTTCAGCCTAACGATGGCTTGCTTCACTGATAGTGACAGCTCTTTGGATCTCATCTTGAGAGTTGACAGCAACAGATTCCAAATGCAAATAACACACTTGAAATGAACTCTGGACCTTTTATCTGCTCATTGTAATTGGGATAATGAGGGAACAACACACACCTGGCCATGGAACAGCTGAGAAGCCAATTGTCCCATTACTTTTGATCCCTTAACAAGTGGGAGGCACATATGCAAACTGTTGTAATTCCTACACCGTTCACCTGATTTGGATGTAAATACCCTCAAATTAAAGCTGACAGTCTGCAGTTAAAGCACATCTTGTTAGTTTCATTTCAAATCCATTGTGGTGGTGTATAG